TGTGTGTCGAGTATGGCCCAATCTCCCTCGACCTCGTGCTTCGCACCTTGGTCAGCGGTTTGAAGTAATCGGTGAAACTACTGGATTGTCAGTCGGAGATTGATTTTCCTGTGATCTTGCATCCCTGTGAAAAAAATGGAAATTCCTCATTTCAAGCACAGATTGGACCCGGAAAATATCGAGGAAAGTATCAAACCAGTTCTGAATCAGATCAGACCAGAATGGAACCTGAACGAAGTCAAATTTAAGCAGTTTGATGAGGGCATCAGCAACATGTTGGTGGGTTGCAACATGCCGGGATTGGATGCCGGCGAAATGATTCTCTTCCGAGTTTTCGGAAATAAAACCGAGCTCTTTATAGATCGCGAAAAAGAGCTGGAAACCTTTCAGATTCTGCATTCCAAGGGCTACGGACCTCCAGTTTACGGCACATTGGAGAATGGCCTAGCTTACGGATTCCTAGCTGGAGATGTTCTCGACACGGATACGATAGCGGACTCGCATATTTCTTCTCTTTGTGCCCGGCACATGGCTCAATTGCACGCGATCAAAATCAATCACGAGAACTCACGACATAAAGCAGAGCCGATGTTGTTCAATGGAATGATGAAGTATTTTAATCTTCTACCGGAAAAATTCGAAGACCCGGTGAAGAACGAAAGGTGAGAAGTGGAAGGGGGAGGGGGTGGGGGAGAGTGTGAGCAGGGGGTGGGGTAGAAGTTGTTTATTAACAAACTGTTTATATTGATTCAATCAATCAATCAATTATATTGAAAGGGGACCGATTTGTCCACAATGCTTTTTTTTATCATTATGTTTAGAATGCAATCATTGATTGTGTTGTGAGTTGTTGGAGGGGGTGGGGCTGGGGGTGGTGGTTGGGTTACCAGTCGTTTAGTCCCCAACTGTTTAACCCCCAAGCAGAAATCATTTAGCACCCAACCAGAAGTTGAAAACACTGTCTTTCTCTTGTTCTTTAAGTGTAACTGGTGGCTAATTGACTTCTGGTAAGGTGCTAACCAGCTAGGGGCTAGTCAACTTGGGGGCTAAATGACTTGCACTTAGTGGTTGGGGAGCTGTTGGAAAGTGGAACCCTCTCTATGGACAGCCAGTTAATATCGATACTGGCTCATTACATATACAGACAGTTTGTCTGTCTTGGCTTGACAACTAACATTTTATAATTCTTCACTGATTATTTATGGACTGCATGACTGAGTTTATTTTTCACAAATATTATGTTC